AGACACTTAGTTAAGATGGGCCCATATTCATTGCTTAGAATGACAAAAAAGTATACATTTGCTCAAAAAAAAAAAATAAAAAAAATACAATACTCATACCAGGATAAAAGTAATACAGTCCCCGGCGAAATTAATGGCGCGAATATTCGAATTACTTATTCAGGCATAATACCATAAAACGTTCATTTATAATGTTTATTTGTCATTGAGTCGCGTAAATAGATAGTAACCATAAAAGTAAATAAAAAAAATATGATCGTCATCAGTGTTTTTGTTTATTTTGCAAAGTGTCTTCGAACCCTATTAAAGCCAACCATAATGCCGTTAACTTTCTCTGAAAACAAAAATATTCGTACTCTGAAAGAAATTTCGAATAGAACTGGGATCCCATTACCTACATGTCAACGATATGTCACCATATTAAAAAAAATTGGAAATTCGCCGGTCAGGTCGTCCGCGAAAATTATCACCGAACGATTGTCAAGTGTAACCACTATAGGAAATGAAAGCTATTTTAGAAGAAAAATACCAAGATCTCAAAGTTAGTGAGAGAACTGTTCGTCGTGAGCTTTCCAACCTCGATTACGTTGCTACTCTTCTCAGAAAAGTTCCTCTTCTAACAGAACAAGCAAAGATTAACCGCTTGTCATGGGCACAAGATCATGTGCATTACAACTGGAAGAAAGTTGTTTTTTCAGACGAAACAACTATCCAGTTGTTTCGCAATACGATGCTAGCGTGGTCTCGTGAAAAGAAACCTGTCCAGCCTATGGTAAAACATCCCCTTAAGGTTCATATTTGGGGTGCTATCAATTTTAAAGGGGAGGTCGGTATTCATATCTTTACTGAAAACCTTGACCGCCACCTATATCGTAAAATTTTGAATGAACAACTTTACGATAATGCTGATGCATTAGTAGGTGGCCGATGGGTCTTTCAGCAAGATAACGACCCTAAGCATACATCTAGGGACGTTATGAATGAACTGAATACCCGTCTTCCAAGACGTGTTCTTGCTCGGCCTTCATATAGCCCAGATCTCAATCCTATTGAGAATATATGGGCTATTTTGAAGCGTAATGTTTAGAAACACGTCAAAAAAATGATAGCAAAAAAAAAAAAAGTTTTAAAAAATAAATTTATCGGTATTATTAGGGAGGGATCGAAAAAAATGTCATAGTTAATAGCATCGGTAGCATGCAAAATCGGGTTCAAGCGTGCATCGATGCTGAAGGAGCTCAACCAAGTACTAAAACTATAATAAAAGTTATAGTCATACCATTTGGCTTTAAGAAAAAAAAAATTTTTTAAAATTTTTAATAAAGTGCATTTTTTATTCATAAAAATTACGCGCCATTACTTTCGCCGAGGACTGTAGTTAAAGTTTCTGTTCGTAATACAAATTCTTATTTTAATTCAAATCATTATTATTTTTCTATTTTAATTATCCGTTTTATTGGTTTATTCGTTTTATTCATTTATTCGAATATAATTCGAATACTCCAATTCATAACGAATAAACAAATAATTCGAATAAATCTTATTCGAACCATTAAAATAGTAATAATGGTGAGATATTATAATAACAATAATAAATAATAGTAATAATAACGATAGTAGTAGTGATAATATAATACCAGCAAGCTTAGTACCATCTGAAAAGTTTTTCATCAACTGGGATTTATTTAGGTTCTTAACCGGCTAAAGTTTTTCTACCGGCCAACATCATTATCAAAAATAAATATTATGTTCATATTCCTTTTTTATTCGGATAATTTATGATGTAATTTTAGATCTATGGTATTACATTGGTCTCTTTATTCGAACAATTGTGAATAATAATAATTATTATTATGAAAGAGTTAAAGAGTTAGTTGAGATGACAAGATTTTTCCTTTTAATATATATACGCACTTTTCCAATTTAGAATTGGTGCTGTTCACGATTATTTTAAATGTCGACATTATACGACCAAGGAGATGTTTTTTTCTTATCAATCGAAAAAGCAAATGGCACATTTATTGTTTAATTAATCATATATTAATATTAAATTTCAAATTCTCGAAATGATAAACATTTTAATAGATAAATATGGAATTCATGCAATAAAAAAATGTGACAACAAATCTATTATGTCATAACTTATTTCAAAGGTTTACTTGCTAATTTAAAAAATATGGAATTAGAAACTAGTGAGGTATTTAATAAATAATAACAACAATATTAATAAATGTTGTTTGAAATTAATTTATTTATTTTTATTTTATAAAGGATTTACAAACATATTTTGACAATTTGGTGTTAAGGCAAGTTTGTTTTGAATTTACAAAAAATATTTCGATGAATTAATGAATTAATAGGATTAGTAAAGTAAATGTGATTAATTAGCATTTTGGAATAAGCATGTATACCTTCATATAATATAATACTATTCTAACAGGGTGGATGGGTTGAAATCTGTAACAATGACTGACAAAGATGGTGTTGCAATAATAAAATGTAAGAATCAATGTAAATCGATTAAAATTTCCAAGAATTGAAATTAATTTTTAATATTTGCAACTTTTCATTTTAATGATAATAAGCTGTAACAAATAATGCATCCATTAAAACATTTGAGCATATATTATCAGCGACTTTTGGAGTTATCAGTGACCAGGTAATTTAATTATGTAAATAGAATCCATGAGTGAGAAATAATCCATTCATCTATAAAAGAAAAATTATAATAAATTTGTAAAATTATTTAAATAACTTAGGCATCGAAATTAGGATTAAAAGAAAATAAATCTATAATTAGCCTTTATGGAATTTATCAAGTCATACAATTTAATCACGCACCATTAATTACTATTTTAATTGCTGATTCTGAAGCAAACACTGGTGAATATTATTATATTATATAATATACATTATTATTATATATATAAATACTAATATTATATATATACACCATCTTATGGTGAAGGTGTATTATTAGATCTTGGAAATGAATTAAAAGAAATAGCAGATTTAATATCTGCAACATTAATTGAAAGACAAACATCAGCAACATAGTATATACTTTGTTATTATTTGTTATTTTTTAATTTTAAGAAAAAATATTTATATAATATTAAATAATAGTACAAAGAAATAAAATATATCAATAATAAGTTTACATGTGTTTGCAAACTAGAGAAAAACAACAATAATAATAACAATAATAATGAATACCGATTCTTTTTCTTTGGTTTTCATAGACAAAAAAGAATAAATGAAATTTTGAAAAGGTGAGTGAGTTGACAATTAAAGGTGGGTTTTAAATTATTTTTTATTGAGAACAATTGGTACTACAAAAAATTTTGATTAATTAATTGGTATGCTTCTTATTATAATATATATTTCCAATATTATATAAAAATTGATATTACTTACAAATAATAATCAATAATAAAATGATTATGGTAACAGCGATAATAATTCTCATTTTCATATCTTTCCACCACATTTGTTTTCGTACTTTATTTGCCCCACGACGAAATCCTTGTGCTGATACTGACAAGTTTTCTATTTATAAAAAGATAGTGAGGAGATATTACTAATTATTTAAATTATTTAAAGTGTTTCTTTATTCTCCAACATAAATTCTTTACCGGTTTTATCTTGTAAAGTGTCTAATCTCTCTCCTCTTACGGCAACGGATTTAAGATTATCACGCATAACTTCTACTGTCTCGTCGATTTTTTTTTGAATTTCTGCAGTTTTTGAAGGTGGTCCACCAGCAGCGCCCTCCTTAGGTACATATGGATCATATGAAGACCTGTTGAAAAAAAATGATTATTAATGTCATTGGACAATGACGATTTTAAGTAACATTCGTTCATTCAGTCAGTTAAACAAAAAATAATTATTTTCCATTGCAAACTAACTAAGTAATCTAACTGATTTATTGATTCAACCTGCCCAAATAAAAATTTCAATATGCTTGCTTTCTTTTATTTCAATATAATAAAAATAATACATACATTATAAAGTATTTTTATTATTTCAATGATTTCTTGAGGAATGCTAGGCGCAAGTATTTTATTATTATTAATGGCAAAGAACCTTTTTGAAATTATTTTTTGAATAAAGTTTACGTGCACAAACTATTTATTATTATTATCAATCCAAGTACAAAAGTAACATCTATTTATAAATAAAATTTCTGCTTATGGTTATGTTGTCGCACATCTTTCGATTATTATCTAGGGGGCAGGACCCCGGAAACTATAGATAGGTTACTGGGGTGTACAATGGACTAATGTAGATCAAAACTAATTAACATCATATTAATATGGGCATGCTGCAACAAAACCAGACAAAGTGAACATTGATATTACTAAAAATTTCAGGGTCCAAAATTTAGTCATTATTATCACAATTGCATTATAATTATAATTTAACAGTCCAATTTGTTACCTTAAGTGATATATAGATCTTTCAGGTTGAAAACCAACTCAAATTTCAAGGTAAATGGGTAATCGAAATTTATGGCATAACCAAAGATCCAGAAAAAAACGATTACATGATTGTCATGCAATATGCGAATGTGAAAAGTCTTTAAAAAATGTCAAATAAATATTTTAATGTATTGGATTGGGCAGATAAATTAAATGTTTTGCGTTGTATTGCTTATGTGCTCGCTTTGATTCACAAAGAAGGACTAACCCATAAAGATTTACATTCCGGAAACATTGTCTGCACATCACTTCCTAGTTATTACATTAACAAGTTTCAGATTATGCAGACCGATAGGGGTTCAAGGTTCGAAAATTTTTGGTGTGCCTCCATACGTGGCACCCGAAGTTCTAAAAGGCAAGGATTACACTCAAGCATCAGATATATATTCTTTTGGAATCATCATGATGGAGGTTTTCACATGTTACGATGTTCCACATGATTTTAACTTGGAAACGCTCATTTGTCAAGGACCTTGTCCCAAAATCAGATGTGAAATTCCTCAGCTACTTATAGACATGGTAGACAGGTGCTTAAACGCTAAACCCCAAAAACGACCAAGTGCTAAAAAATTATATAGGATTTTGCAAAAGTATACGCTCGATTATAGAAATTCGAGATCAGAATTTTACAAACAGGTTAAAGCTATCGAGGAATCAAAGAAAAAGTTTCCAACTTATGAACCAAACAAACTGACGGCAATACATTCTATGGCAATCTATACAAGTCATCTTTTAGATTTTGAAAATCTTCCTGAACCTGTTAATACCACACCGGAAGGTAATAAAAATTATTTAAATATTGTGTGTGTCTATAAATATATATATATTTTAGAAATATTTAAAATGATCGATTTTATTGTTTTATAGATTCAAAATACTAAATAGTACTTATGCAAGGTATAAATTTATTTCAATATCACGTACTAACATAGAAATTTATCTTCTTGAAATAGGAACAAAGATCTTAGATAAAGTAGGAAGTGTCGTTTATCAAGTTGCAATTATTTGAAATTATTAATATTAAAATATTTTTTCGAAAAAAAAAAAAAGATCTCCACAAACTCCTATATATAATAATAATTATTATAATATAATGTGACACACTATATTATTTGGTCACAAAATAACAATAACACGCGTAAACTTCCTTCTCAAAACATGTCCAATCTAACTGTTAACTCGAACTCTGACTTTATAAGTTCTATTGGTAAGGTTGTCTTTCATTCTACTGGTGCCTAAAAAAGACATTTATAATTTTTGAAAAAATTTTTTTTTTGTAGAAATTGCCATTTCGGAATATTTTAAAAATATAGCACCTTCTTCATGGTCATATGAAAGCTTTCTTGTAACTATGAAACCTTACATTCTGTTGGAAGATGAAAGAGAACTTTCGGCCATCTGGCGAAAAAGATTTCTTAATGCTCTAAAAGTGATTATCACCAATTATAAAGAAAATGTTGAACCCAGCAAGCAAGTTCAGCAGATTGCATCATTGTTAACAAATCAGGTAATATATACTTTTGATATTAGTATAGTCATTTTTTAAAGTACGGGTATGCGCAACTCAGAGGGGTTCAGTTCCTCTATTCTTGCAAGGGAATCTCTTTAAGTCTTTAAAGATGCTGAGTATGGGGTTCAGTTCCTCGCGCCTTGCACAACCCAGGGAGGTTCCGTCCCTTTGTTCTTGCAAACGATCTTAGGGGGTTCAGCTCCTCCGAAGATTCCTGGGGATGGGGTTCAGTTCCTCGTGCATTCAAAAAAATTAAAAAAAAAAAGATAAAAAAGTACTTTTAAAAAATTTGAAAAGAACTAATGGCTTCATTTGTCCCAGAAACAAACAGCTAATGTTGCAAAATTCTGGAGGAATATTGTTCAAGAGAAAAACAAGGCAAAAGTAGAAGAAAAACTTCGATATACACAGGTTTGTTTGTTTTTTGTAAAAAAGAATATTATTTTTTTTTTGTGAATGACACATTGTTTATACATTCTTTGAATTGTTGAAGTTTATCTTCAAAGAAAACTCTAAGATAGATGCTTTAAAAATATTAACAAGTGCAAGGACACAACAAACAGCCCAATTGAGTGGTGAAATTAATCTTAATAAACAGACAATTAGTAACGATGATATTGGTATATATGGTTCAGATAGCATTATTGAGGTAACAGTTATCTGCATTTCCTGCTAAACACATATACAACCAATAATGATGTTTAAATTAATAAAGAATTAACAAGATTAAAAATTTTACTCCTAATAGATCGATATTAACACTTCCTGTTTTGATAAATCAGTAATTCCGGAAAAAAGAACAAATCAGGTATTTACAAACATCTTGCTGTATATGATTTAATCAAGATACTTATGATATTTTTCCTCTTCTCACTTCAGGAGTATGTGAAAAACATATTTGATGATGATGATAATAATAAAATAAAGTGTTCTAAAACAGTGAACAAAATTAATCTTGAACATGTAAAATATGATCCTAAAAGTGATATAGTTGATTTACGACCTAAATCGAAATTTTTTAAACAATTATCATTTGAAGATGTTCAAAATTATCATAAAGAAATTGATGAAATCACTGAAAAATTGATTCCTGATCATATTCACAATTTTCTTATTGATTTTTTCTCTCAAAAACTTTCAGAAGCGGAGTGGCAAAACAAAATTGATGATCTTTGTCCACCAAATCATGACGATAGTTTACTTGTTGCAACAACAAGAATAATACGAAGAACATTGCCACAGTTGTGCGTATAAAGAGATCTTTATTTTTTTTTTTAATCCAAAATACATTATTATGCTCAAATATTTCTAATTTTGTAGCATTAAAACATTCGCACTTGGAGCATTTAATCCATTGTTAAACATTAAATCAATTGAAAAACCACATTTGAATGCTTTTGTACACCCATGTCTAGATGCTGCACTCTGGTACATTGCTCGGATAAATTATGAATATGGGGAAATTCCTTCACAAAATCATGTAACTCGTAATTTGGCAGATGGTGTAGGTTACATGACGAGTGCAGATAAATTTCAATTAGTTTATGTAGAAGGTGCAAGTCCCGTGGCAAAAGAGGACAAAGAAATAGCAGATGCAGAAAAAATCGCAAAAGATTTAAGGAATATGTTCAATAACATAGTAAAGAATTCTTTTAATAACAGGAAGTGTATCCCAGAAAGTTTGAGAGTCTTTGGTGGACAAAGCTTCAGATTACAGATATATCTCTTCTATTTAGATTTCCATGGTATGCCACATTGTATTAAAAAGTATCAACTTATATATTATTTCCTATTGTTAACGTTGTTATAATTATAGACAAATATCACCTACATGAAGTAGAAAATGCAAACCTTCCAAGGGACTTTTCGGAGATTGAGGATTTTGTTCCTTTTTACGAGTGCATACTAAAATGGGCGGTATGTATGAACATTAAATTCAATATAGCTTTTCTCTGAACTACTATAATAACATCAAAACTCTTCTGAATATATACAAATTTAGTTACTTGTGAAAGAAATGACAGAGAAATTCGAAATTTCAAGAAAAAATAAAAGACCATCACGTAATTCATATTCAAGAAATGTTCGTTTATTTGAAAAATTACAAAAAAATTCTTTTTAATTACAGAATAAAATGATTAAATGTTACGTGTCTTAGAGTATTATTCACAACAAAAAGGACAAAAAAGAATTTACACCTTATTAATGAAATGATAAAATAAAAAATTTGTTGGTAAAATAAACTTTTCCCAAGTATTTATGGCATGCTGTTAAATTTTAAATCAAAGATAACAGATAAATCATTATGGGTCACACATGATAACTAACTCATCTTTTCTATATCCTATGTAAGAATTTATTTTTGTACTAAGTAATTTTTTCACAAATTATAGTCATGATGTTATAATATTTTGCAAAAAAAATTTTTTTGACCAAAAGTCTCGAAACCCGGTTTTCCATATTAATATGTTCTAATTTACAAGTTTACTTTGAATAAATAATGATTCCAATTTAGGCTACAATTTTTGACTTTTTAATATAAGCTACTACATAAGATAATAAATAAATAAATAAATAAATAAATAAATAAATAAATAAATAAAAAAATGAATAAAATAATTAACGAAACATCAACTTTCTCTTCTTGTGTGGAAATCTACATAGCAATTTCTAGTTTGGGAACAACATAATACATGCAATACAATAAATATATGAACGATTTTGAGTCTTATTTGATTTTCCTTCATTTCTTTGGGTTAGAAATTTGCACCATTCACACACAATCCTACTTTCTCTATATTCCGGAAGATGATTATTTTCAATGACTAATCTTTCCATGGGTAATTCTGATCTTTGCTTGATGTAAGAAGCTCTGGATGATGATGATGGTGATGGTGATGGTGATGATTCAAGTATCATATGTCCGTGAGTTTCTCTTTCATTGTTTCTATTTAATCCTTCTTCAATTAAACCCCACACAAGATTTAACCTGAATTCTTTATGAGTCATTCCATCACTATTATATTGTTTTTGTAGATTAAATAAGAATCGATGATTGCAGTATCCAACAACCAGACAAACACTGGCATCCAGGTTCTCCTGACTTTTTGTTGCGTTGAATAATAACATCTCAGTTGGTCTGCAATATCCACAC